TGGAGAATGCGTAGCACATCAGGGTGCATCCACACATTATTAAAGGTCAAAGGGCTTTAGAGCAGTGCAATTATTTTGAAATTTTTATCATTTACTTATTATGCTTCATTAAGTACTTATACAAAATTTTGTTAAAATAAAACCATTTAAACTGGGTGTTCGGATTTATATGTCACTTAGTATATTTGAAGTCCATGATTGCAAACAATTTTATAGGCAGTTTTCCAGAAAGCTGCAGTTTATTCAAATTGTTTTTGACTTTGCCTATCGGTTCAGCTAGTGCTGAACGTGTCATGAGCTCTTTGAAAATTATTAAAGAATACCGTCGAGCTTCTTTGGCTGAAGACACACTCAACAACTTCTCTATCCTAAATATCGAAAGATCAGTAGCTAATACGCTCAATTTGGATTCTGCGATGGAAGTTTTTGCTGAACGAAAAGCAAGACGCGGATTCAAATTAGAATAATTCTGTTATTTTGTATTGAATAAAAAATGTTTGATATCGCAGTCCCTACTTGATTTTGGTTATATAGACATATAGTAAGAAAACAGAGGTAACAGTGAGCAGCAGCTACTATTGTGCATATAATTGTAAGCCCCTGCTAACATGTGACATCTTTATTGCCAGCAAAATCTGTACTTCGGACTTTATCTGAACGCTTTAGATGGATTTTACGTTATCGAAAGAAAGATCCGCGTGAATATTGAAACAGTTGAATTAGCTGTTTTACTGGCAAGTTGAAGCAGCATCAAATTACTATTAAAAACCTTTTGCACTATCCATGAGCTTGTTTCGGTTACTTGTGCAGGTCTTTCTAATTTTTTATTCCCAGTTACCGTCATTAATTTGCAAATAGCAATAAATGTGGAGAATATCACTCTTGCAAATAGTGCCCAATATATATCCTGTAGTGATGCACGTTATTTAACGTATTTTAGTGTTGTTTACCAAGTTTCTATTCAATGAAATATTAATCACAGCAAACATGACAACAACTATCCATCATATTGTTTTTTTTCTTAAATCCGCCACTGGTCCGTCAAAAAGTATTTTTTATTAAATTTGCTCACAGGTTAAGCGCGCGAGAAGAAGTTTTTCCTTCATCAAGCTGACCGCATAGGCAACCAGTCTTGCGCTATCATCTATGAGCTTACAGTTAGGGTCAAGTGGTGCAAAAACGAGACGATTTTTAATTCTTTTAATTTTTTGTCAACAAAAATCCGGACTTTAAGACTTTGTTATATTGCCCTGTATATAGAAAGCCATGTAGTATACCTCACGTTAAAAAAAGTTCATAATATTCATAATGCAGGACGTTGTTGTTAAAAAACCGTGTCTCGTTTTTAACCACTATTTAGGCTAAAAATGAGACAGTGAGAGGTTAAAAATAAGACACTATATTTTCTGGCCTTTTAGTCATTTTACATCAGTGTGGCAAAATATGAGACTCTAGGGAATAAAAACGAGACACACTGCAAGGGTTTTAAAGCGTTTAGTAAGTCAAATAACATAGTTAGGTTTTAAATTGTGACAACGTTCTTAAAGAAAACTCACATAATTAAATACAAAACTATGTATATTAAACTAAAAAGAAAACAAATCCAAAAACAAGTTAAATAAACCATACCTAATTCAAAAAAGGGGTAAACCAAGATTTTCAATAGGATTTTAAGAGCTAAAGTAGAAAACTCATTATTTTAACGTGTTTTGTACTACATATTGTTGAACAACGTATTTTTCAAAGTCGATAGGAAACCAATATTGCTGAGAGATACGACAGGTCTTACTTTCTATTTCTGGCTGGGGAAGTTTCATTTCTATGTCACTTTTGTCGATGAAGTACTTTTCCTCAATGGCCGGAAAAATAAATTTAAATCCTTTGCGCCTCAGATATTTTACTTCTACATCGCTCTCAAAAACTTTAAGGATTTGTGCCACGTAGTAAACTTGCGTTTTTTGCGTTTTTTTGACTTAGTCTATTGCGCTTACAAAAATTTTTAAACCAATCTTTCCCGGGCTTTCCTTCCTTAAACTGGGTAGTAAGATGGTTTTCTTGTACATAGGTTTGAACTATTGCTTGTATCTCTGGTTTAGTGAGAGCAAACCGCCATTTTGCCATAATTTTTATCTTATCACTTAAGTCTACTTCCATTTCTTTGGTTAGAGAAGTTTTTCTTCCCTGTTTACCAAGTGAACGAGTACGTCTTCTCGAAAGAGCAGATTTGTCAATTTTAAACTGTTTAGCTGCATTTCTAAGAGATAAAGTGCCATTATGTATTAGTTTTAGGGCTGTTTCCATGTTCTTTTTGTCGTAGGGGCGCTTTTTGGGAACGTAAACCTTCGTCATTATTATCAAAGGTATAAAAGCTGTCTTGTTTTTACCTGGCAGGTGTCTTGTTTTTAAACTTTGTGGTGTCTCGTTTTTGCACCTGTTATTCACGACGATATATGGATATGGAATATCATAGCCGCATTTGTTATTTTTAAAACGCCATACTTGCCGAGTCTCTACGATCACGTACAGCGGCGCAACAGGAAAAGTTTGTAAATACAATTTAAAAGATTTTTTAAGCAAAATGCACAATCAGATGAGATAGTTTTTTTCTCGATGTTTGTGTTTACGTTTATTTATTATCCATTACATATTTCAATTGTATATATGTGGAAGTAATTTGTAATGTATTTTTCACAATGTTATTGTTTTTTGCATTGGGAAAAATTGAATGTCTTGTTTCTGACCGAAATTTCGGCTGTCTCATTTTTGCACCACTTGACCCTAAATCAAAGTTGACGGATGCAGTGCTGTCAGTGTTTATACAATAACTATCTAAAACTGTAATGACTCATCGATGTTCACGTGAACATCACTTAACTACCAGTAGTCGGCTGTTCATAGGCGGGGTATGAATGTTTAACATGGGTGAACTAGATTTGTCACATGCTTAATAAAGAGTGGTTTAAAACATATTGTAAGTCAAAAATTTGAGAATTACCTTTATTCATCGTCGCTTCCACTACATCTGACAGTAATAAACTGTCGCTATCGCTTTCCTCGTTGAAATTGACTATAACTGGCTCTATGATGGTGTCGATGTGGTGGTCAAGCTGCCACATTTTTGTTTCTTCCTTCACAACATGACGGATAGCATTCTGCCAAGCTTCGGGCGTTACTAGCTGTATGGAAGTCTCAAGTAAAACCTTAAAGTCTGGTAATTTGAAGGTTGTGTTATGGCGCGCAATATAACCCTTCACTTGAGCCCAGATGAGCTATTGGGTTCAGTTCACAGTGGTAGGGCGGTAACCGCAGCACAGTGACACCACATTGACGGGCCATCTCATCAGTCACGTAACTAATGTTAGCAGGTTTGTGCTGTTTAATTTTCTCATACAATTCCGCTTTCACACATGAATCGTCAAACGGGATTCCTTTTTCGCGCAACCTTTGCTGCATGTCACTTTTTCGAGATCCCATAGTCGGTACACGTTCGGCTCGACGACTATGGTAGGAAGCATTATCCATGACGATCACAGAGTTGGGCTCAACTCGCTGAAGCACCCCTTGAAACCAGCTCTCGAAGCAGCTGGCATTCATTTCGTCATGGTAATCACCTCCTTTCTTAGAGACGAAAATCAAGTCACACTCTTCTAAAAAGCCACTATCGCTATCAATATGAGTTACGATCAATCTTTGACCTTTCCCTGACGGTCCACGAAGACCTGTTGACAAACCTTCAATGCTTGCTTGTCGGTTACTCACTCCGTTTTTGTCTATCCAGGTTTTTTTAACTGTGTGACCTGCATTTACCCATGTCTCGTCCAAATAATAGATTTTTCTGCTTTGTCGCCTATATTCAATCATTTCGCGTATATATTTTCGACGCCAGGCGACTATTTCAGGTCTCTCTATCAATACTGACTTCCGATTACGCGTTTCGTAACGAAAATTAATTTCGTGCAGAAATTTCCTCATTACCTCGACGCTCATTTGGGGTATAATTTCATTTTCCTTGATCGTTGCATGTACAGCCTTGAGGGTTGGTATCTCATTCCTAAAGAAGAATGAATGTACGGTTCGCCTTAACGCCATTTTGCTATCGTCATCCAATTTAACGGCCTTTCGTCCATTCAAATTAAACTTTGGATCAGTAGTAGCTCCAGTTTTCTTCTTTTCATGCACCACCCAGCGAATGGTCCACTCTGGAACGCCTGTCCTACTTTCACAACGCGCGAGTGCATCTCCCTGCGACATAGTTCTGTTCAGATAATTGAACACGTTGAGCACGATTTCTTTCGCGTCCCTCTTCAGTGCTTTACGAAGCCGTCTACTTGTTCCCTGGCTTTCAGTACTTCCACTCGTGCCATTCGTACTCTCCATGGTTAAGTATAACCAAAACAGTAACCACAGAAACCAAAACAATAACAATCACACAACAATTCTTATAAAAACACACAATATGCGATCGCTCAACGAAACACGTTCCAATGCGTTGCCGACGCCTATGAGTCTGCCGGTCGAGGCGCGTCTTTGATTTCATTGGTTCTACCGGCGGAGAACAATCAGCCATTATTTCCATCTCTGTCTGTGCTGTTGACCACCGCAAAGCCACAGAAACGACATATGTCGTACGCTATCCGGCTGTACTGGAAGGAAGCCGGGATCGAGCTCTGATCACGTGTTGATCACGCGTCTGAGTCATTACAGTTTTAAATAGTTGTAGTATATTAGGAAATACCAATACGGCATCCATTTAATATGTGTGCATTACAGATTTATTTAAGAGATTGAAAATTGGTGGTCGAACTAAATTCGCCTGGGGGGGGGGGGTCATGACCCCCATGACCCCCTGGATCCGCGCCTGCTCGGCAGTTAACGTGAGAAGCAAAATCATTAAAAGTTGTACACATTTCTCTTTATCTGCTTATCGAGTCGTTGCTGCGTATTGCATTCCTAATCACGTCAACTCAAAGGCAACTTGAAATTAGAAATGTTTATTCCAGATATCCACGTACAAAGAGCCTGCTGTTGGTAATTTCATTCTTGAGATGTCTGACGGTACGTCAGTTGCTGAGATGCGCGCTTTGTTTTTCTTTGTGCGAAAACTCCCGATTCTCACTTTGATTGACGCAAAATGAAATACTGGAGCTGCTGTGCGAAAATTAAAATTCTCTAATATCGTTTATGGAAAGAGACCTGTTAGAACATCACAGAAATTAACAAGCAGCAAGTCACCCCTGGGGGGCGTAACTTTCTTTGTTGCGTGAACGCAGCGTTCTTCCAACACCAGCCCGGAAAAACGTTTTATCGCTCGCAAAAGACCGCATTAAAATAGCATCAGCAAAGTCGGAAGCGATGAGCAAATTCCCAGTTATATTCTCAGATACCTACTAGTTACTACAAGTGCTAGAAGCATTTTTAAATTATCTTCCTCTTTACTTGTAACCTCCTTTGTTAGTTTATCAGCAAGTGAATTCCCTGTAACCTGCCAAAAATCACATAACTTTTTTTATACTATTTTGATCACTTACCTGTAATTTGAAATTCTCTTTATAAATGTTAGAATTCTGCTTCCTAAGCCAAACCAGTTTCAATGATAAAAGTTTTCTGTTGTCCAAAACGGACGCAGGAAAGTAAACGCATGTTAAAACAAGAAAGATTGTTACTCAAATCAAGTTGGGTACTTTATTTTGAAGGTTCATTTTTACCATTTATGTATGAAAAGTAATATCGCTCAAATGTTCACCACGACTGGATTTACAGACGTCCACGCGATGGTCGAAATTTTCAATGACATTTTGCAACATAGTCGGTTCTATGGCATTTATCTCGGCAATGATGTTGTTTTTGAGTTCTTGGAGGGTGGCTGGTTTGTTGACGTAGACTTTGCTTTTTAAATATCCCCATAAAAAGAAGTCCAAGGGAGTCAAATCGCACGATCTTGGTGGCCACATTTCCTCTGCGCGAAATCACGCGATCACCGAAGAAGGACTGCAATCGATGAATATTGACGTTGGTTGTGTGACATGTTGCACCGTCTTGTTGGAAATAAACATCGTCCATATCCATTCCTTCAAGTTGCGGCAAAAAATAGTCCTCTATCATCACGTGATATCGCTCAGAATTGACGGTAACGGCGTCCCTGGCCGCATTTTCGAAAAAGTAAGGTGCGATGATGCCTTTTGACCACAATGCACACCACACAGTCACTTTTTGAGGATGCATCGGCTGCTCTTGATACTCACGGGTTTACCGCCCCATTCAAAGTGAAATGCGTTTCGTCGCTGAACATGATTTTTGATGAAAAATTGGCATCAATTTGGCGGTGTTCAAGGAGCCAATCTGAGAACATTCGGCGCGAAAACTGGTCGGCCCGACGCAGCTCTTGCGTCAATTGGATCTTGTAGGCGTGTACATTCAAATCCTTGTGGAAAATGCGGAGAAAACTGGTTCTCGACATGCCCAATTCTTGGGATCGACGCGTTGTTGATGGTTTCGGATCGTCTCTCACACTCTCCTTCACAACAGCAATATTTTCCGGTGTGCGAACGCTCCTTGGCCGGCCAGAGCCTGGCAGATTTGCCACAGAACCTGTTGCCTCGAATTTACGCACCAGACAACCGATGGTTGTTTCGTTTGGGCGATTGTTGCGACCGAAATGTTCACGAAGCGCGCGAAACGTGTTTTTTATTTTTGCACCATTTTTGTAGTGCTCTTGAATAACTTTAATGCGGTCTTCAATCGAATACGACTCCATAGCGATCAATGGTAAACATTCAACTAACAAAATGACATGTCGGTGACAGAAAACAAAGATGGCGTCTATGTCATATTGAAGTTTACTTTCCTGCGTCCCTATTGGACAACCCTATATAATTTCACACATAATATAAATTTTTCTTTCTCAATGGCTCAGAAGTATTTTGGGGACTTGTGGACACTATGGTACAATATTTTACTCCAGAAATGTCCAAATAACCGTTGTTGGTTCCTCGTAAACTGATTTCTAGGGTCTACCCATAGGCAACCAGCGATGTTGTATGTATGTAGGTTCGGGTTGCGAACTTTTCATTTCTGAACGCCTTTGTCAGGTTTTTGGGATTGTTTTGTTTTCCTTGGGCGAAACTTTGCTTCGTTATCTCTAGATAGAATATTAGACTGTCAATTCATTAAACAAATTTTAAGCAAAAGTTGCGAACTTGCGACTTCACATTCAAATCCTTTAATAAGAGACGCCTTGACATACGATCCAGCATCCGTTCACAAACACAAAAGACCTAGATTAGCACTTCTTTAACAATCTGATCATCTGAAACTGTGATTTATTCTTCGTTTCTTTACATATAATTTTCATAATCGCATAGTCCATCTCTGACATTTCTTATTAAAGAGATTCGCTTTCCTGCCAGTTACAACCTCAGTAAGTTTTGGGCAAATCGCCCCCGGCCTACCCTGATGAGTAGAAGTGGCCAAGTCAAGAATATTAGACACTTTGGTTTGGAAATCGGAATTTTTCATTCGTTATTATTACTTTTAGCACACATTTTGGTTTCGATATAGTTTTGGTATCGAATCTGTGGAGTATCGAATGTTGGTACGACCTCAAACTTCGGACAGGCAACTGACTGACTGACGGAACACCGGAAAATTCGTGTCGGTTATTTTTCGCTGAATCCTTGGTTGAGAAGATGGATCGACCCTTCATTTAATTTCCTAATTTTGGGATATTGGGCCCCAATCACCGGTTTATGGAGTAGAACCCTATTCCTTACCTACCTTACCTTTATTAGTTTGTTTTGGTCATTCTTTGGTGCTAGTCCGTCCATTTTTATGGGATTTTAACCTCTTCAGCGGGAAGTTCTTTTTTTTTCACCATCTAACGTGCCGTAACGCATGTCCAAAAGGAGTTCGCTTAAGAGGGAGTTCTATTGAGGAGGCATTGAGGAAAACCACCATCCGCACTCCAACTTTGTAGCTGTTTTGTTAAATCTTCAGGTGTCATTTGTCATGAATAAAATAATATTTGCCAGTATTTTTTTTATACTCCAACTACCACGAAGGCCTAAACACCCATGGGGTACCGTGGGGCTATAGGGGGATTCAGGGGAAAGGGGGAACGCCACACAAACTCTGGCGAGGGAACACGTGTGCATGCAACATGCACATATTCTGGCTCCGCCTACGAGAACCGCCGGGTGGTACCTCCGCGTTCGGCAGTCAGAGACCGTCTACCACCTACGGACAATCACAACATCCATAGCCAAGAGAAACATTTCTCCTGGGACGGGATTCGAACCCGCACAGCGCACGGCGACTGATCAGGGGACCGAAGAGTCTACTACTGCGGCCACCGTTGCTGCCAGTAATACGATTTAGTACAAACCAGCAATTTGACCTCGGTCGGTAATAGCGAACGCTTCAACAGCACAACCTGCTGCATCGGTCTTGCTTGAGCCCAAGCTAGTTAACTTTGTGATGGCACGTTTTACGATATGGAGGACCCATAGTCTAATCATATTAGACGAAAATACCCCCGGTTTTCTTACAGACCTTACAATTATACTAAGTGACATATAAATCCGAACATCCAGTTTAAATGGTTTTATTTTAATAAAATTTTGTATAAGTTCTTAATGAAGCATAATAAGTAAATGATAAAAATTTCAAAATGATTGCACTGCTTTAAAGCCCTTTGACCTTTAATAATGTGTGGATGCACCCTGATGTGCTAGACATGCTTCTGATCAGGTGGTCATTATCCTCCTGTGGTATCTCAATCCAGGCAACCACCAACTCCTCTCGAAGTGCTTCTAGAGTCTGAGGAGGACGTTGCAAATTGAGCGATCTCCTACCCATCATATCCTACACGTGCTCAATTGGGGATAAGTCGGGAGATCTTGGTGGCCATGGTAACAATGTGACATCATTATGTTGAAAGAAGTCTATTGTGACTCTTGCAACATGTGGTCGGGCATTATCTTGTTGGAAAGTTGGATCTGCCAGGGTGTCAAGATAGGGTAAAAGATGGGATTCTAAAACTTCGTGGATACAACGCTGCGCGTTCATGTTACCTCTGATGAAAAGTAAAGGTGACCTGGAACCATAAGCTATAGCACCCCAAACCATAACTCCAACAATGTGACGAACATGTCTTTCAACAAAAAACTGTGGATTCCTCCTTTCACCACGTCGCCTTCTAATCATGGCGCGACCATCGTGCATGCCTAAACAAAATCAAGACTCGTCACTAAAGACAATACTGTTCCATTCCTGATCCCAGAGTGACCGTTGTCTGCACCACTCAAGGCGATTACGTCAGTGTTCTCGAGTTAAAGGGAGGACCCAGTGTGGCCGGTATGAAAACAAGCCAAAACTTCGCATTCGTCGGTAACCACTTCGCATGCCAATAGGTCTTCCGTGTTCTGCAAACCATTCATTTGCAATGGACCTGGTAGTGGAGAAACGGTCCCTTAAGGCCAATAATCTTAGGCGGCGATCTTCACGGTCTGTTGTTCTACGGCGGCGTCCAGTGCCCCTTGCTCTTTGCGTACGGCCTTCTCGAAGCCATGCCTGACAACACCTAACCACAGTGTATACACTTCTTTGCACTCTAACCGCAATTGCCCGAAAAGAAAGTCCAGCTTCCCGAAGTCCCACTATACGGCCCCTATCAAACTCGCTAAGTTGACGAAATCGTACAGGTCTCCGTACTCTAGGCATCGTAACCGATCGTAAAGGATGTCAAGAACCAAAATCCGCCAACGTTGATTCTTTACTGCGGCTGAAATATTCATTTTTAGAGCGTTAGTGAATTAAAAAAAGCAGTATAAAAACCGGAATGTTCAACTGATAAGGCTGAAAATTTTTTCACTTGTTATTTACAGTAAGATAAATACATTCACCAACTTTTATTAAAATAAAACCATTTAAACTGGGTGTTCGGATTTATATGTCACTTAGTATATTTCGGGGAAATTTGCTAATATGATTAGACTACCAAGAACCTATTAATTTGCAGAAAATGGATGCATCCACACACTTGCTTGACAAACTAATGT